ATCATATCTTTGTCATATATATATATATGTACTCAAGCTTGCAGTCTTTAAATAGATCCAGTTCATAAGCTGATTCCGAGCCCAAATTGGGATTGCTCTCGAAATCAGATTATTTTTGCTCCTATTTTTAACCAATATAATACATAAAATGGTGTTATGAATATTTCTTGTCTGACAGATTTAACTTCTGTATTATGTTGTGTGAGCAGATCAAGCTAGGGACGATTGATCAGAGCGAAGCTCAAAATGAGTGGGTTATAAGACCATACATGAACACTGCTAAAAAGAGGAATTTGCTTGGAGATTGAATAAAAATTTGGCTACCTTGCAGTTCTTAGCTTTTTAATTTTTTCTCTAGAATTTTCACTTAGTTTTTTTTTTTTTCAACTCATTTTTACTTGTACTATAATGCAGAGAGATTATTTGAGCTCTTTATTGGCAGCATATGTGTGCCTTTTAGGCAATTTTGAGGTTTATGCAAAAGACAGTTAACTGTTTCGACTGAATGTTTGGGGGGATATAATATCTGCTTTCTTTTTTATTGGAATTTGACTTGTTTCTGTATTTACATTATGTTATAATTTGATTGTTTTGTTATCGGTTTTTTCAATTACATTATCATTCTCATTGTGTCGAGGTTTTCATATAATATTGTATTTGTTATTGTGATGTTTTCTATATTTTGTTTTATTCTCTTTTGTGATCTGATATTATCATGTATTATAATTTTTTGTTATAAATATTGTGATGGTTGTATGTATTACTCTTAGATTTTGCACGTAAAATTATCTGGATAAATCATTGTTATAGCTAATTACGAGGCCGAATTAAATTTTATTAAAATTTTCTTCGAACGCCAAAAGCTCTATTTGAATTGTATTCTAATATGATTCGAAAGTTGCTAAACTCAAGCTAAATTATTTTCAAATTTTATTCAAATCTCATGTGATTCTTTTCAATTGTTAACTGAGACAATATCAGTCTGGTTCTTGCATGTTCTCACAACAAATTTTAATATCTGGATATGCCAAATCAAGAAGTAAATGAAGTACATGAATTTAAATCTTCACAACTTCTTCTAACATTAATTATCAATACTTTCCACAACTTTCATCCAACATTTTAATTACTTATCATTTTAAGGACTTATCATTTTAAGGAGTCATTTTAAGGAGAAAGATAAATAAAACTATTCAGAATCCATGGAGAAAACAAAATCATGTTTCAGTTTAAAAGTAGAAATCATTGTCAAATTCTTTTGCATCATTTTCACATTTTTTTTTTAAATTTAATCATTTTTCACTCATTTTAGCAATTTTCACCTTTTTACTTGTACTTAAAAGAAAAACACTCAAATATCTTCCATTAAAGCATAATATCTCAAAAAATAGGTGTAAAAATATGTCTAAAAACACTATATATTTTAGGTGTATCAAAATCTCCCAAACTTATAATGTTACATGTCTTCAAGTGATACTTCAATCTTTAAAAACTAAATAAGTATGATATGTATATGAGTTTCTTTAGGAGTTACTAAAATTTAGATTTAGAAATATAGTAGTCTAATTTAGAAAAAAATATTTAGTAAATGAGACCAACTTAAAGTTTAGAAATTTTTAATGTTAAAAAATATGAAAATTTGAGTTTCTATCTAATTCAAAAATTTTATGGATTTTTCAAATTTAGAATTTAGTTCTTTTATTATCTCCACTTAAAAATTTTTATTAATTATTAAGAATAAGAATAATTATACTCACTATAATATATCCTTAAGCTTAAGAGTTTCCCAAGTCTTATTCTTTAAAAAGATCAGATGAAAAAGTTCAAATGTGGAACCAATTTTTGATTAGGCACTAATCCTCAAGCTTCTCTTCCCTTACTTTTTTCCCTTGCTTTTTTTTTTCTTTTGCTTTTTCTTTTTCTTTTTCTTTTTCCTTCTCTTTTCTTTACTTTTCTTTTTCTTTTTCTTTTCTTTTTCTTTTTCTTTTTCTCTTTCTCTCTTTTTATTTTTTTCTTTTCTTTTTCAGGCAATGATTATTATATCTAAATAGGCCTTTAATGGTTTTGAATTTCACTTCTCTTTTCTTAAAGCAAAGTCCTGATATAAATCTTTTACTTAAAAAATATAATAATAGTTTTGAAAATTATTTTTAACAAAAGAAATTTAAGTATCAAAAATAAAAGTCTAAATATCTAAATTTTTCAAAAATACAATTTTTCTTACTAAAGATAGTTACACTATATATAATAATAGGCCTATAATAATGGTTTATTTTTCACTTTTAACTGTTCACGAACCAGTTTTGGTGAACCGACGCTTTAGCACAGATAAGTGGCACTTAGGCGCCTACCTCTCGGGTTACATCGCGCTTAGCACGAGAATGTGGCGCTTAAGCGCCATTGCACGATTTTTGAAATTTTTGAACTTAAGTAAAATGCACTATAAGCCTAAGTATACCACCCCTAAATGGTCCCACCCCTAAATGGTCTCATACCCTAAATGGTCTCATAACACTCAAATGACTATTTTCCTCTCCCTTAACTCTACTTTTTCTCAAAATTCTACACTATAACTAATTCAATTCGAGGCTAAAAATAAGACAAATTTTTAGAAAAAACAAACATATACATTCATTTACAAACTAGTACAAGTACATATAACACTTAATGCTCACTTCAAATAGTCTCGGATGAGAAAGTCTTTCTAAATACATATACTAAACAAACTGAGATAAACTCCTGAAACAATATTTAACACTTAACACATTAAACAACGACTCCTAACAAAAAAACTTTAACACAGAACTTAATTCCATTCTTCATTTATTGAGACAAACTCTGGTCTTTCATTAGTCTCTCCTGGGGCAATCAGAATATAAAGTTGATAAAACGGACGGTGGTGACGTGCTCTGATACTATATCCATTTCTATTTAAGATTCTATTTAAGATACATCTCCTTATCCACTTCCTTTATATAACTAGTATGGCTAAATTGCACTTTAAATTGCCATCCAATATGTTGTAGATGTGCATGAATCTCAATTACCTTTATCCCCACTAAAGCCATGATAGTCTCAATTTTGTTGATCTTTTCTGATATTCCTTCAATACTAATGGCTAAGAAATTGTTATACATCTCTTGTGCACTTTGACTAATGAATATCTTCCTCATGGTCTCTTCCTTCTTCTTCAAATCCATCTCCCATTAAGACATCTTCTCAAAATCTCTCTCTCTCTCTTATAATTTAGGGCAGAAAATGATCTAGGGTGAAATTCCTTCACTAAACCCTTCTATTTATTGGCATAAATCTCTCTAGTAACTCTTGGGCACGTCCTAAAACTGCCTTGGCACATTTTAGTCAACCTCTTGGCGGTTAAATCGTCTATAATCTGAATTTTGCACATAGTTTTTAACTCCTGCACTTAATTGCCAGTGCTTAATTTTGCACCAGTCAACTTAACGTTCAAATTCTCATTTTAGCATGTCTAGATCACAAAATAAACTCTTAAAATCATTACTAACACATAATAGTCTCAAAAATACTACCTTAAATTTTCTTAATCTCACACAAACAACATTCAAAGCAAAACACACTGATAATTATTGGTTGCCTCTCACAAAGTGCTTGGTGTAACGTCGTCAGCTCGACGTAACCAGTGCTTATTCTGGTTGACCCAACATCATTTGATTATTAAATTTATGTTGATCCTCTACTGAATAAGGTTTCAGTCTATGACCATTCAATTTAACTACTTTCTTAGTTGTAGAATCTTTAATATCCACAACTCCATAAGGATAAATTTTTATCAAAGGATAAATTTTTATCTTTTTATCACAATAAATGGGCCCATCTATCTGGACTTAAGTTTGCCTGAAAATAATCTTAACCTTGCATTATATAGAATGCCCTGGCTAAAAAAATTTAATAAGAGTCCTTCGATCATGCGACATCTTCATCTTTTCTTTGTAAATATTAACACTCTCGTACGATTCATTCCTTATCTCTTCAAGCTCATTTAATTGCAATAATCTTTTCTCACCAACATCTTTTAAATTATAATTGAACTCTTTAATTGCCCAATATGTTTTATGCTCAAGTTCAACTAGTAAGTGACAAACTTTCCTAAATATTAGCCTATATGGGGACATTCATATAGGAGTTCGGTATGCAATCCTATAAGCCCACAAAGCATAGTCAAGTTTGACTGACCAATCTATTTTTTTTTTTGGATTCAAAGATTTATCCATAATTATTTTAATTTCCTGATTGAATAATTGAGCCAACCACATGTCTGAGGATGATAAGCAATAGCAATTCTATGGTTTATATGATATTTCTTTAATAATCTCTCCATTATGGCATTACTAAAATGACTTCCTCCATCAGTTATGATAACTCTCGGCATCCTAAATCTATGAAATATGTTCGTTTTCAATAATATTGCAACACTTTAAGCATCACATCGAGGTAAAGCAACCCTTCTATCCATTTGGATACATAGTCTACTGCTAACAGTATATATAAATTTCTGAAAGATGGTACAAATGATCCCATGAAATCTAATCCCCAAACATCAAATATTTCATTTTCTAGCATATTATCGAGGGGCATCTCATTTCTTCTATAAATATTGCCTACTCGTTGACATTTATCACAAGTTTTAATATAAGTATTAACATCTCTAAAGATAGTAACCCAATATAATCCAGATTATAAAATTTTGTATCATGTTTTGTCAACACCAAAATGTCCCCCAAAATCAAAATTATGACTTTTTTGGATAATTTCATAAGTCTCTTCTAAAGGTACACATCTTCGAATAATAAGATCCTTTCCTTGTTTATATAAAAATGGGTCATCCCAAAAATAAGTCTTAGTTTCAGAAATAAATTTCCTCTTCTGTTGGTATATCATTCCATAGGGTATAATATCATTAACATGAAAGTTTACAATGTCGGCGTACCACGGAATACACCACTCATTAATATTGAACAGTTTTTCATCTGAAAAATGTTCATTAATTTCTTTTTAAAAATAGAGTGGTTTTTCTATCTCAAGTCTGAACAAATGATTAGCAATTTAATTTTCAGTTCCCTTCTTATCTACTATTTCAAAGTCAAATTCTTGCAAAAGAAGAATCTATCTTATAAGTCTTAGTTTAGCATCATTATTTTTCATTAAGTACTTAATAGCATAATGATCTGTATGCACTACGCAGTAAAATAGGGCTTAAATTTACCAAAAGTATATAATATGACCAATAACTCATTCTCATTAGTGGTATAATTAGTTTGAGTTTCGTTAGAGTTTTTGTGGCATAACATATAGCTCTAAATATTTTATCGTGTCGTTGTCCTAATACTGCCCTTGCTTCGCATATTAACTCAAATAGTTTCTCCTAATCAGATGAAACAATAATAGAAGCAGTGACTAACTTCTATTTTAGAGTATTAAAGACATTTAGGCATTAATGATCGAAATTAAATAATTTGTCCTTTTCTAAAAGTGGTATAGAAGGCTTAGCAATTTTTGAATAGTTTTTAATATATCACATATAGAATCCAACCTATCCTTAAAAACTCCTAATTTCCCTTACATTTGT